CCCCGCTATGCACCCAGTGCCTAGAAACCCGAAGCAGAAATAAATCAGGGGAAAAGGGAAACAAACATGAAAGAGGCAAGTAACAGAAACATTGTGGCACCTGAAAGACTAGACGTTATACAGTGTTTCAATGTGGGCCTTCATGAAACCATATCTGTACTCCAAGTAAGAGACTGTGACACAAGGAAGGAAACACAATTCATCCGTTTGTTTTAGTGCCAGGAGTGTTTGGGTTTATAATTGTGACAATGTTTGTTTCTTTGGTCTGGTTTGTTGTACATGTTGGAAGAGACCAGCAGGGCTGTCCTCAGAAAGAGGGTAGCTTTCAAGGTACAGCCAGAGAGAGGCTGCAGCCCTGATGCGCTGCGCCTGCCCGCCGGTCCCACCAGCGCGGCTTCTCCTGCCTCCGGGGCAGATGTTGGGGGGAGGGAGAGGGGCTTGAGGAGGAGGAGGAGGAGGAGAGCGTCTCCTGTTGGTTCTCCACCTCCCTCACCTTTGGGCACTGTACTTCCTACCAGAAATACATGGCTGAGAAGGAAAAGAGGGAAGAGGGGCACTGTGCTTTTATTTTTATTTTTTTACCAGGCTCACCAGAAGCCTTCCCTCACTTCTGGAAGCCCCCCCCCCATAGATGCAAGGGAGGGGCAGCATCAGACCCACTTAGGTTTTCTTCCTAGGGCATGGGGGGGAACCCATGTATACCCCCTTCTTTTCCAGCACATTTATGGGTGGGAGAGATGGGAGCACATCACCCACTGATAAGTCCCAGGCTGGAGGGAATAGGGACCCTGGAGGAAACGAGGTCTGTTAAGGGTTGCCCTGCCCCATGACCTGCCTTTGTTGGCTTTGTGAGCCCTTGCCCCTCGAGGCTGTCAAGCTTCCCGCCCTCTCAGTCTCTGCAGAGGGAGCTCTCTGAGATGCAGCATGCAGCAAGGTCCCCTCCCTCTCTCGCCCTGCAGAAGCCCTCCTAGCTTTGGTCCCATGGCTATAGCTCAGTCTCCATTTAGCAAGCATGTGGACAGGATCTGCTTTATGTGGTGCCCACAATGACCCAGTGCAATGCCCTTTCTGATGCACATGCTCTGAGATGCACCACACAGATGCTGCTGTTTATAATGCAATCAGGTGCAGCAGCTGAACAGCCAAGTGGGTAGAAGTGTGTCCTTTTACAGCACAAATGTGTGCCACATATCCCTTCACAGTGCATGCATCATTGTAGTCATGGGAAGGTGGATCCTGCTGTCCAGTCCAGGGGACACGGGAACCCATAACAGCTTGGCCGATCTTCCCCTCCTCCTACGCCAGGAATATGGCGGCGTCCCTCCTTCCCCCCCCCCCGCCCTCTGTAACCTGCCTCTCTCCTCCTCCGCCTCAGACCATCAACATCACAGACTTCCTTGAAGACAGCCGAGAGGAGTCAGCCCGATTCACCTTCTTCTTATCTAACCAAGGTGGGATCTGGCGGTTTGAGTCAGCTGCCCATCCAGGCTGGTTCCTCTGTACCTCTTCCAGGACCAATGAGCCGGTCAGCCTCACTCAGAAGCTGGGGCCGTCTCATGTGGTGGACTTCTACTTTCAGCCCTGCTGAGCCTGCCCTGTTGCTGTCTCCGGCGGCAGAGCTTCTCGAGACCTCCTGACATGGAGCCCGTTCCCAGGACTTCGCTCAGCAGTGCCGCAGCCCCCTTCCTCCCTACTCCCAGGTGTCTTTCCTGAATAGGTTCTGGCTTGACTGAGCACAAAGCTGTCCTCTTGGAGAAGGATTGAGCAGAAGATGATTGATCCAGCCTGGTGGCCTTCCTCATACCACCAGCCATGGTAATGCTGAACTCAGCAAACAGAGGAATGCCCAAGACTAACAGGTGGTCTGGCACTCTTTGGTGCCAGCAAAAGTCACGGCTGAGCATTCAGGCTGTGTGTTGCTTAAGTCCTCATTCCCAGGAATGGAAAAAGCCCTGCGTCCCCTTGTGTGCTCCCAGCCCTTGGAAGGGAACACCAGCCAGAATGTTGCCGGGGAGGATTGCCTTCTGGATTGGAGAGCCCCAAGGACAGAAGGTGATCCCTTTGGGGGAGAAGGGGGGCTGGTGGTCCTTGCCATGGCTTCAATACAAGCTCCAATCCCCCCCTCTTTTTTTCACCTATGCATGTCAATTGGATGTCAGACGGCCAGGGTTTTTTTTTTATGTTTATGATGTCTCCTGCTAAGTTTTTACTTCTTTTAATTAAAGTTGTGCACCACTGTCATAGCCACATGGACCATGTTTTAATAATGAAGTCACAAAATCCCAGAGCACAGAGTGCTGTCCTCTGAAGATGCCGGCCACAGAGACTGGCGAAACGTTAGAACTTCAGAACACGGCCAAAGAGCCCGAAAAACCCACAACAACCATTAGATCCCGGCTATGAAAGCCTTTCCGAATATATTAAATATATTTTCATCAAAAGTGCCTGCAGCCCTTCTGTGGTTTCTTGAACCCATTCTAAACTTCCTTGCTTCCAGCATGGCTCGATTTCTCCATATTCCCTGCTTTTGGAAAACACATCCTGTGGCTGAGGAAGGCCTCTCTTGTGAGCATCTGCTCCAAAGAATCCTTTCCACCTCTCTCTGCATCCGCCTGTGAGGTTTGTTTTCCTGAAGAGGAAATTATTGACTGGCTATCTGAATTAAGCCACCATCCACACCCCACATCAATGCACAGGGAAGGCAAAGTCGTGGGTTTCCTTCATCGGGTGGCTGCACAAGAGAAGTGAGCACCTCTTTCTTTTCCAGGATCACTGGGTGACAGAGTAGTGCACTTCAGTCTTCTCCCACCTCAACTTTTTGCTGAGATGGGTTTCAGTCCCACCATTTGATTCCAGAGTCATAATAAGGATTCACAATTCGGGCAGATGTGGGCTGGTAAGGTGTAGCAGGCAGTGTGCTATCCTGCCTTTGTCAGGCTCACATGCCACAGCTTGCCTCACTGCAAAACCTGTCCTGCTGCCCAGAGGGCTCCCTCCTCCTTGGCAGGGTCCATCCTTCCTTCCTTCCTCCCTCCCTCACTCCCTCCCTCCCTTCCTTTCATTGACCTGACAGACAACTTACGGACACCTAAATATGATTTACCTGGGAGAAAGGCCGCAACTGGAAAGCTTTCCCCATGCTTCCTGTAGAACTCTTAGAATGAAGAATAATAGGTTTTCTAGTCCAAAATATCCTAACATCCTATCCCTATCCCTTCCTTCCTTCCTTCCTTCCTTCCTTCCTCTCTCCCTCCCTCCCTTCCTTTCTCCCTTGTTGGCACAGGGCCTTGCAGCTTCTGTGCTCTTGTGAGGAGAAAGGATCTTGGTTCCAACTGAGCCTAGCAGTGAAATGTAAGGGAGGAGGTGGGCTCTTGCTGGCCCATGGACTTGACGTATTCTCAGAACAGGAAAAGGGAAACCTGGTTCTCAGGAGGAAGTGTGGCACCTCCTCCACACTTGGTGTGCCACCAACAGAATGGCAGCCACTCCAACCCCTCTACTAAGTTCGGGGTTGCCATTTAACTTGGAAATGCAGGGTGAAAATCCCTCTGCCAACATCATGCCTGCCACACCTCCATTCGCCTCTTTCCTTATCCTTAAGATGTCCTCGGCAAACACAGCCTCTGTGTGCGTGGGGGGGGGGGAGCGGGGAGAGACAGAACCTTCAGAACATGGCCAAAGAGCCCGAAAAACCCACAACAACCATCACTTCAACATCTCTTTCCCTCCAAGGAGGGGCCAAAATAAACCATGGTCATTACCAGGGGTCGTTAATGACTTGCCTTTGATATTCTCATTACTGTGAGTTTGCAAGGCAAAGCCTTCCAAGCCGTCTGCTTTCACCCTCTTCCCCCCAAACCCCAGAAGCACCGGATCCTTCTCTGCCTGGTCCCTCTGGTCTGTGGAAAGGAACAGACTTTGGCACACAATGAGGCTGCCAGCAAGGCGGCCTGAACGCCAACAAAGCTGGCCTAGGCTGAGGTGGTGCTTCTTTGTTCTGCGTGGCCTGGGAAGGGTGGCACGGGCACCCCCAGCCTTTGAGGAGCTGGATGGGGCACCCCCTCATCACCCATGGCAGGCAGGGCAGGGCAAGGCATCCGCCTTCTGGGTGGCCAAGGCACAGCGACCGGTCTCCCCCCCCCCCTCTGCCCTCCTCTGCTGGCTTCTTGAGGGGAAGAGAGTGAGAGAGAAGGGGGTTGGTGGCTCCTGTCACTCCGTTCCCCCCCCGCGGTGGTTTCCTGTTGAGAGAGGTGCTCTGCAAGCCGCTTCGCGTGACTAACCTTTTTCCTCTCCAGGCAGCAAGAGAAGGAGCCCATCGGGGGGGGGGACCCACCTCCATCCTTCCTCCTGGGGGGTTATGGCCTTTGTTCAGGGGAGGGGGAATGGCCACTGGCTCCGAAGGCACGAACCAAAGGACCCAAGGGCCCCTGGGGCTGAGGAGCCAGGATCCACTGTGGCGCCCACTGGTCTAGTCTTCTGTCAAGCCTGGTAGGTCTTGTGGAAAGGCTGAAGGACTGAAGGGAAATGTTCACACTCCCGTCTGCCCCCACCCCCACTCCCACCGGGGCCTGACCTTTAGCTCTTGGGAGAGGATCCCAGGTCTGTGCGGGCCATCCATTTCCACCCCCCCACCCCCAACCCCCCCCAAGGCACGAGATTTCTGGAAGTGAATGAAAAGCAGCTGGAAAGGCTGCTCACCACCTGAGAGGCGGGGGGGCCACGGCCACCTCATCCCCCCCCCCATCACCCTGCTCTGCTGGTGGAACTGGAGCACATGAACAGGACTGGGAGGCTGGCATCCTGCACCCACTCCCCGAAAGGAATCTCTGGCTTTGCTGCAGCTATTGTCCAGGCTCTGGCGGGTCTCTCCCTCTTGCTCCAATACAAGGGATTCATGGGGCCACATCCTGTGGCCTCCCAGGCTGGTTTCAACTTCCCAGAGGCACCTTCTGCCTTCATAGCTGAAAAGGCTCTTTATCAAGGGTCTACCCCCCACCCCAGCCCCACCCTACCCTTTCCCCACTAAAAGTGGGGAATTTGGGATGCTGCCCTGGCCAGCCCCTTCCCCCAAGGCAGCCCTGGATGGAAAGCCCAAGGACAGGCAGACTTTCCGCTGAGCAGGGAGGAGGAAGGGGTGGTGGGAATGAATCAGTGGCCAGCCGGCCCCTCACCCCTCTGCCCGGCACTTGTCCTTCCCTTGTCCTTCCACGCAGGGAGGGCGGCCTCCGGTCCGGAAGGCCACAGTCCTGCGTTTGCCATGGGGCCCAAGGGCTGCCCGGCCCTGGAAGGTAGGCTGCCCGGGTTCTTCCGGGCAAGGAGGCAGAGGCTTCGCTCTGCAGAGAAACAGGAAGCCCTCCGCTTGCTCCCCCACCGAGCTTGCTGGGGAAACAGGCACCAACCTGGCCGCTGGAGAAGGGTTGGGTAAGCCTGTGGGGCAACCACTCTCCACACTCTTGCTTGCAGGAAAGAGCCTGAGCCCCGGCAGAGGTGGGTGGGAGCTCCGAGGGACGAACGAGCTGAGGGCCCTCTCCGCTCCGCCATCCCAGGGATCTGTCCCAGCACCCCGGGCCAGGCCGCCCGCCAGTCCAGCTGGGGAGCACGGAGGAGAAAGAGAGAGAGAGAGAGAGAGAGAGAGACCCGTAGTTAGAGAAGGAGCAGCCCAGAACCCCCCCCGGAAGCTACATCTGGGGGTGTCCTAGAGGCCTGGGTTTGGCCATGTGAGTGACCTGAACGCTT